TCCTAGTGGACATCAGGTTCCATTGACAGAAGGGATGAATTATTGCTTATTTTACACACTTCCTGTATGCATCACAAGTGCTTCCCAAGTTGGATACATAACAGGCACAAATAATTCGTAACGTTTCGCGACATTTACATATTTTTCCAACTCAAGTCAATTTGGCTTCAAACTTGCATTTGTCAAACTTGACAAGATCCCTTAGAGCCATGTTCTATGCCTTAAGGTCCTGACAGGACCAGGAGGGTTACAAAGTCCAGGAAATGGGGGAAATACTTCTGGTCATCCACACAAGCCCTCTGTAGGTGCCAAAGGCTGGTGGCTCTGTTACCAGCTGTAACGATCAGTACTAGGCTGGCTGTAGGCACCCTTCTACTGTTCCCAAGGCTGCAGTACTTGCACCTAGCCTCCATGTTCATTCACTAGGCCTAAGCATCTCCCATCTGGAGTCTTGTTCAGTCCTGCAAGCATGCCACATACTTCTACCACTAGCAAAACCAACAAATCCCAGATTCCTTTCTCAATCTTAAGGAAGTCAGTCTCTACAGATAAGCATTCCTTCTGTATTTGAATATCTTCCCCACCCATCCTTACCTAAAATGGCCTGGACTGGTATTTTGCAACCCTTTCAGATTCAAGGCATCTATTTTATAAAAAATATTTGGTAATGAATGATTTATTATCTTAAAATAAAATTGATAGACTACCTATCCATGTGATTTCAAAAAAAAAAGAAATAGAAAAAGAAAGAAATAGGTAATGCCCTATTTGTATTATAAAAGTGAAATAAGAAGATAAATATGTTATGATAAAATAAGGTTTCAGTATGTCAATGCTTTAGGAAAAAGTCATGTGATTGTACCACCACAAAGAATCATTAAGTTTGTAGCAGCCATAAATGTGAACTGACACAGCTACATTGTATTAGCAAACAAATACCTCAAGTATGATTTTAATTCGTAATATGGTAATGGTAGCATTCTGAAGAAAACATTGAAATCCCCCCTCAATTTCTACAATATTTCCCTGTTTAATAAAGAATTTGGTCTCAGCCCAAAGAGAGGTATGGCTTTTGATTGGAGTGTTTTTCTTGTTCATGGTGGGCCCTTTGGACCATACCTTATAGTTTATGCTAATTAGATAACTCAGCATGGGAGAAGGCAATACCAGGAACACCAACCATGTGATCAGAGGATTGAGCCACATGATATCACCTAGACCTCTGGTTAAAGGAGCATGGCTGGAGATTGAATTTAGTGACACAGGTAATGATTCAATAAATAGTGCCTACATAATAAATCCCTGGTAAAATACTCTGGACACTGAAGCTCAAGTGAGCTTCCCAGATTGGCAACACTCTGTTCATATTGTCATACATTGATGCCAAGAGTGTAGTGCATCCCTGAGGATATGGAAGCTTTCATTTGGACCTCTCCCAGACTTCACCCTCTGCATCTCTTCCTTTGGCTGGCTCTTATTTGCATAGTTTTGCTATAATAAAACTGTAATCCTAGGTATACCACTTTACTGAGTTCTTTCCAGAGCCTCACATTAATCTACCCTTTTTCATACATAATTTTGGCACCCAACAAAAAATAACCATGTATAGAGAAGATAAGACATGACCACAAACAGAAAAAGATAGAAAATAGGAATAGACCTCTAGGGAACCAAGATAATAGAGACATCAAAAGGGACTTTATTTATGATTGCTATATACCAGGAATTAAAAGATAAATTTTATAATGTTGGAAAAGATCTAAAACTACGAAATAGAATTACATTGAAATGCTAAAAGTAAAAAGAAAAAATGCAAAGAACCAAAATCGATAATGAAAAGAATTGATGTAACAGAAGATTAGACTTGGCTGACTAGAGACTTAGAGAACTGAAAGATAGTCTAGAAAAAAATATCCTGACTACAGCAAAGGGAGATAAAAAGGTGGAAAATACAGAATAGAGCATTAGAGATATATGGGCTATAGCGATAGCTCTATATGCTTTCAATTGGAATCTCAGGAGAGAAAAGAGAGATAAAATGGGCAAGAAGCAATATTTGAAGAGACAATAACTGAGAATTTTCCAAAACTGAAGCTGAAAGACATCTGTCAAAGTTCAAGAATTATTAAAACCTCAAGAAGGATAACGACCTAAAAAACATCATAGTACTCTGATAAAAACCAAAAAGAAAAGAGAAAAATCTTAAAAGCGTACACACAAAAAGGACCTATCACCTTTGAAGGAGCAACAGCTGACTTCTCAAAATGAAAAAAGAAAAAGCCATAAGAAAGACAATGAAGTGATATCTTCAAGGTAGTGAAAGAAAATAACTGACAATCCAGAATCCTATACCCAGTGAGGAAAAAGTAATGTTTCAAAAATAAAGGTCAAATAAATAAATTTCCAGAGAATCAATAACTGATAGAGTTTGTCACTGGCATACTCATCATAAATGAAATATTAAAAGCGGAGGGAAAATAATTTACCTTAGAAGAAATGGAGAACATCAGACAGGGTAAATATATGGGTAAGTCTATATACTATAAATACTATACTTTGGGATTAAATTAAATGACAATAATAGTAGAAAAATTGAGAAGAGTGTAATTTGAGTAAAGTATTCCAGGTCCTTGCATTGTCATGGGAATGAAAAAAATGCTAATTTATACTAGAATTTAATAAGGCAATACATAAATCTTATACATTTTTTAAAAAGGCAAAAAAAAAAAGAAGTGAAAAAGAAATATAGGACATGCAAAAAAATAGGAAATGAAGAATAAGATGATAGACTTAAACCCTAACATATAGATAGGCAATTCCATTAAACATACACGATCTAACTATTTCTATTAAAAGGCAGTTTGTCAGATTAAAAGACAAGGTTTATTTCACCAGGAAAACACAACAATTCAAAATTCCTATGCACCTAAAATATTTAGGCTTTATAGTTAACAGTGAGGTGATTCCAGACTCTAGGCAGACATTTTGCTTTCTGTTTTGTTTTGTTTTCTTTTAACTGACAGAACATTTGAAAGTCACGTAGACAGAGGACAATTCTTTTTTTATTTTGCAAGATTGTTCTGCCCATTTCCATATATTTAGCATTCCTAGACTTCCTCCAATAAATGTCAAAAACATACCATACTTCCCAAACACTCCCTAGGGAGCAGTACTATTCAGTCCTTAGCCTACATCACCAGAACAGAACTAGGAGTTGTTGCCCTGTAGTAAAAACAAATTGGGAATTGCCATCCTGGTAAAGGAGGCCCCAGAAATCAAGAACTCAAAGGGCTTCCTGCTCATCTTATGAAGTAAAAGGGGAAGATCACATTTTTGTTTTTTTTTTTTTCTTTTGTGGCCCAGGTTTGACCAATTAACCAATCTGGATATAGTAATCGGGTCAGAAAAGGACACCTGAACCAGCCAGGGCAACAAAACTCTACTCCAAGACTTCTGTCAGAAATTATTGGAAGGAGTGCTATCTCTCTATAGGAAATGCTCTGTGTAATTTCCCCGATATTTACATCCATATGATTTCAAAGAAAGGCTATGTCCTCAGCAGGTCATGAGTGGGATCTACCTTTTCATTTCTGTTACGTGGAGAAAGATCTTGAACCCAACATTTTGGGAATACAACAAAGTTTATGGTCTGGCAGCCTTTTGCAGCAGCACCGATGGCAATCAACTGCAATTTGGAGCTGTGGGGTGGCCAGATGGGCCGACCTTGGGCCATTCCAACACAGGCAAGGTTGGGCTGGGACTGCCTGCCCATCATCCTGGTTTTCTCTCCTCCTGCATGCTTGGAGTGCTGAGAGCTGCCTCACAGGTGGGGAACAATTGTATTACCATAAACCTCCAATTAGAGAGGTTCCCGGGCTGGCTGATCTGATCCCTTTACAAGAGTTGCTGATAGTGGCCAAGTTCTGCCCCAGATCTGCACATTCGCTCAATCAGAAGATAAAGGAAGTTACAGAAAGAGATTTGGAGAAGGAATTCTGTCCAATGAGTTTGGAACCTGGGGGTTGCACACAGACAGCTTCTGGTGCAGGAAGGATTAGAAATTAGTAAGAAGACTACTGTCCTGCCTAAGTCAATTGACTGAGAGGAGACTGATTCTCCCTTTTCTGAAATCGTGCTTTGGCTCTGGGATACTCTAAGTCATCCGAGATGGTTTTACTTCATATGTTCTTAGGAAAATACCAGGAGGATCGGTGAGAGGACAGCCTACCCACTAGATATCTAATCATAGGTCTATAATTATGCATCACTTTCATAGTAAGGTAAAAGCTAATACTGCTAGTGCAGTCTCCAGGAAAATAATTACAAGATAAGTATATGTTTAAAGTTAAACAAGTTTCCTCTTCTAGCTTCAAGATATTTGGTTCCACGTCTTGGAATCTAGTATAGCATAGGTACATAAGACTTCTAGTTTTTAAATAATAAACATCTATACACACCTACTCATACTTTCAATAAAGAAATCAGTGCAGCATATGAAAAGAGTATAAGACGGTGAGGGATGAACAATAATTCTTAACATATGTTACAGAAAAAAACAAATTATCTGAGTTTAGACCATGTAGTAGAAACTGGTCTACATAAGGGTTAACACCAGCATTTTCTTCATCTTATTACTTTAAGTCCAAACATTCGTGAATGCAATAGTTAATCTAAAATAGTCAAGAACTATGAAATCCCAGCCTTTATTAAATGTGCACATGGACGATATAAATCTTCCTTGAGCCCAGGGTCACTTTGATCCTTTTAGTGGCTCATAAAGCAGCGTGTATCCTTGTGCGGACAAAGGAGGCGGTGCCACGTCTGAGCGAGGAGCTGCAGAAGGGTCTTTGAAGGGAGGACGGGGACACAGTTGAGTCTTAGATTGTCTCAAATACTGAGACTAGATTTTTCTAAACTCAGTTTGGAAGAGAAAGACAATGAAAAGAGGGATTTTTATACATTGAACTCATCTTCTGATCCTTCTCTATTGTTATCCACAGGTTGTGGGCATAACATCTAATGTTCAGTGGTGTCCTGATGAAATCAAATTGGGTTAAATGAAGCTTAAGTGCCTGCCCCTGAAAGATCCTCAACCTAAGGTCAGAAACCTAATTATTGTCACCAGAAGGGACTGACTACGGGAAACACACGGCCCTAGACGATTTGGAAAGTGTTTTAGTAAAAAAGTGGATTTCTCATTCATCTGTAGGTAACTAATTGTTTGATACCCTTTTAGTCCCAAAACCTAAGGTAGCAGCATTTTCACCTTTTTAAAAATTTTATTTTAAAGGGATTTAACAGCACTTTTACTTTCAAGGATGGTTCAGAGATGCGCTGCCAGGTTTCTGAGGAGACTGCAACACGGGCCAGCAAGCGCAGGGCAAAACTGTTACACAGGCTCCGGGGTCGCTCTCTCATTGCTTGTATGTAAATAGGAGGTAAACAAGCTATTTTGCCTCAGAGGGCCCGAAGGAGGAGCGATGAGATAGTGAATTTAGAATGCCTGTGGTGTTTTTTTTAGAAAATACAGTTTATGAGGCCAGGGCATAAATATTATTATTGTTATTATTCTGATGCCTACTGAATAAGGCAGCATTGCCAATGGCATGTTCTCTCAGTAAGTCCCCTCTGGAGATTCCAACAAGGATCTGACAGGTGAAAGGCCACACTTTTCATTAGATAACCCCCAAGCAAGGTTTGGAAGCCTGGGTTTTTAATAAGAAGAGCCTTTTCCAGTCCAAGTTTTCAGTGTATTGATATAGTTACTCATATTGCAATTTCAGAATAAATGCTTCTGGCAGAGCTCTCGCCCGCAAAATTCCCTCTACTAATCTTTAAGAAGAATCGAGGTAAGTAGCATATCATCACAGAGGCAGGATTGCTTCCGTCAAGGCAGGGCAAGGTGTCAAAGACTTCTGGCAAGCACCCTACCAGGCCAGACTCAAAACTTGGTATGGTACTAACTTTTCCGAAACTGAAACAAAGTTATTTATTTTTGTTTTCATTCATTGATTTAACTGTAATTTTCTAAAGATAGTCATTTTAATATATTAAATTATCTCCACCACTGTCGTCACACATAAGGACTGACACAGAAGCGTGGAGAATGATGGTAAGGTTTTCAGCATAAGGTGAATACCGGGTATGGAAAAGTAACAAGGTGATAGTAACGATTTCATAAAATTGTTATCAGAAAATAACTAGAACGAGAGAGGTCTGTGTACCCACGTATTCCACTGTATATGTTTTAATTTTTTATTGTGAAATCAGCATACAAAGAAGTGCACAATATTTATCAGTGATCAATGGTTTATTATGAAACCAATGTATAATGACCACCTACGTCAAAAAACCCACTCTGACCCCTCCTAGTCACTGCGCCTCTGGAACTGCTACCCTGGTTTCAATGTAATCACATTTTTGTATTTATTTGTAGTTTTTTCCCTAGGCATTGGCTTTGAATACTAAAATTTGGTTCGAACTGTATTCTGAAATTCATGTAATTGGAATTATACTGTATATACTCCTTTCTGTCTGGCTTCTTTATTCATGCTTTCTAAGGGCTTTCATCAGGGACAGTCATGGAGCCCTGGAGTGCCTACATGACTGGTCTTAGCTACTCAGGCTCCAGCCTCCGCAGAGGTCAAACTGGTACAGTATGGGTCAGAGTCCCAGGCACACCAAAACAGGTATTCACTGTAGATCACAGTGTTAGCATAAATGGTGTGGCCCAAAGCCTCATGTGTACAAGACACTCTTAGGTAGGAGCAGGTAAATGGAATTAGAAACCTAAAAATCTGTTTACTTTCTAAGAAGGTAGTAAATTGAAAAATGAAAGATTTGGATAATATGACTCCATACATCCCCTAAACATCACTGCAATGAAACAGACAGATGGCTTGACACTGTCTAAGGAGGTTGTTGCCATAAGGGATTCTGACCAGAGTGGAGTAGGACATGAAAAATGGAGAGAAGGGGAGAGAAAGGATACTAATAGGTGTCTTTTCATGTATTCCAGCCAAGTTGATCCTTCCAGACTATTTATATCTTGAGTTTGGATTTCTCTGGTTTCTGGAAAAAATATGAGGACAAACTCTATATGTATTCCTGCAGCGCCTAACTGTGGGAGCAGGGAAGGAAGGGGTTGGGGGGGCAAGAGATATATATGGCCACTGCCAAGTCAATGAGGGCACCCAGAGGTCATGCTGGGAGTCCGTGATAAAGGGTAAGAAGGATCTGACAAAGGATCCAACAGAATGTTCTGCCTCATGCCCCTAAATCATTGCTTCCTGCTGGAAGATGTAGAATGTCAGGATCGACATTATGAAGTAAATATTGTGCACAATGGGGAGGGAATTAGCTGTTCAATTGCCATTAATGCTAATGAGACTTTGGTGGTTAATTTCCCATGCCTTGTGCTGAATATTTGCCCCAATTAGTTATGTCAAGCTTGTGCCACACTCCTACCAAGTTTTCACTTTTAGGTTGGAGTGCAGAAGGGAGTGGGTAATTGTCCACATCATTTCCTTCAATTTCAGATGGTGAAGGCAAGGCTGAAGTCATCTGATCATATTGTTCGCTCCTTCAGATGAAAAGCCTCTGAGAAACTAGCACTTTGCCCAAAGTTTTGGAATGTACAACCCCTTGGAAATCATTGTTTTCATTAGTAAGCTACCTGCTGCGTCATTCTCTTATAGGAGACGGGTTTATTCTGGTTTATTTATTTCACTCCAAAGAATAATTTCATTTCTATTCTCATTAGACCTACAGTTTAGTTTAACATCCCTATTACTTCCATGATGATGCTCCAGATAATAGGAAATTAGAGGATATGTAGGAGTGAGTTTTAGGGGAGTACAATTGTACAGATCAGTCTATAATAAGCTTTTATTCTTGCGTACAAGATAGGCTTTCTCTTTTGTTCCAAAGAAAAGCATGTATATCTCATTTATGGAACCTCTCATCAGCCTTATCTTATATATTATATATATTTCTCTTATTTTCCCTACTAGATTGTAAGCTCCCCAAGGACAGGGACAGTGTTTTATGTATTTTTACTTCCTGTGCTAATATCTAGCAAAGCACTAGACATTCAGGTAATATTTACTAATGAATGGAAATATAACAAACATAACTGAAATGAGCATGGGGTAGCATCAAGTAGTTTAAAATATCAAATAGAAGTTCCCTTTAAATCAATTCTTAGGGTACATGTAGTCATACCATATGCATTTCCAGAACTTCAAAGAATTTGTTTTTAGTGTGTGAGAATTCTCTTGAGAATAATTCAAATAAAGAAATAACTAGGTTTGAAACAAAAACAGGAAGTAAAAAGGAGGGTAGGAAGAAAGGGCAGGTTTTTGCAGTAAGCGTGTGGGAAAGATATACGTGAAAATAAGCAGAAATAAAATCCAGGCTGTAAGCTGGACTCAGTGGTTGCAGTGAGGTGAGGAGGGCCTAGGCATCTATAAAAGGGGCCATGATGTCACATGCTGTGGAACAGAGTGAGGACTCTGTAACCCTGGGTGTAGGGGAAAGGAGTTGATGAATATACACTCAAACAGCCTGCCTCGAGGCTTTTTATATTTCAGATTTTCTTGCTAATCCTCATAGCTCTTCTTGAGGAAAGAAGTGGGGCCTCGTAGGTGTGAGAACACAACTGCTGATCACGAATCAAGACGGAATTTCTAAATTTGGATTGAGAAACATAATCTAGCAGAAAACTACAAACTGTTCCTCCTATGTGTATTCTCCATAACAAAACAAAACACAATTTAAGCATTTCATTGAAACCTGAAGAAAGTAAGCCCTGAAAGATACTAATGAGGAAGAGAAGATCAACAAAACTAATAGCATAATATCCGTCCTTATCAATGTAACCATGTAAAACGTCACTAATACAGTCTAGTCAATTGGTGTTTGACAAATATGGGTTGAATAAATGAGTATAGAGTCCCAAAGCATGCCACCCCAGATTCGTCGTGGAAGAGATTGTTTTCCACCCTTTATAAGTAAGCTTAGAAAAGTGGCCTCCCTCTGAAGCCATTTATGACCATCAAGAGAGAGGCATATCCATGTCCTAGCCATTGGATTTCTCTTTTCATGTTGTTCTCAATGAAATAATCTTGATTTACCTTTACCCTTACCTGCAGTAATTGCAACTAATTTATAGCGAATGCTTCCTATGTGCTAAGCAATACTCTAAGAATCTTATATGTATTAACTTGTTCAATCCTCCTGATAACCTTGTGATGTATTATTATTATTATCATCATTTTACAAATGCAGAAAATAAGGCACAGGGAGCCCTGGTAACATGCTCAAAGCCACTAGTCATTAAAAGAATAGGGATTTGAACCTAGAAAGCCTGACTCTCCAGCTCCCTTCCTCCCTTTCTTCCTTAAGAACTTTATTGAGATATAATTCACATACTGTGGTGAGATTAATTGTGTTCTCCCCTAAAATTCATATGTATAAGTTCTAGCTCCTTATACTGTACCGTGTGATCATATTTGATGACAGGGCATTTACAGAGGCTATTAAGTTAAAATGCAGTCATCAGAGTGGGCCCTAATCCTATATGACTGGTGTCTTTATAAGAAGAGAAAATCTGGACACAGGCAGGTGCAGAGGGAAGACTATGTGAAGACATGTGGAGAAGATGGTCATCTACAAGCCAAGGAGAAAGGCCTAGAACAAATCCTACCCTTACGGCCCTTAGGAAGAACTCATCTTGCCAAAACCTTGATCTTGGACTTGCAGCCTCCAGAACTGTGAAAAAATAAATTTCTGTTATGTAAGCCACTCAGTCTGTGTTATTTTGTTACATCAGCTCCAGCAAACTAGTACACATATACACTTTACCTATTTAAAGTGTAAAAGTCAGTGGTTTTTCGTATATTCAGAGTTGTGCGACTATCATTACAATCAATTTAAAAATATTCCATCAGCCCTCAAATACTTCATACCCATTAGCTGTTGCTCGCCATCTACAGGCCCTAGCAGCCACCAATCTACTTTCTGCCTCTAAGGAGTTGCCTATTCTGGACATGTCATAAAAATAAAACCCTATAATATGCAGCCTTTTGTGTCTGGTTTCTTTCACTTAAAGCCCACTTTCTTAACTGCTAAGCAATATTGCCTTTCTCTCTTACTTCTTTATTCTTGCTTTAATCAATATAGGACTTAATAAATTTCTAACAATTACTGCTAATTCACATAAATATTCAATGGCACCCTGAAATAGTAAATCTTCAGACAAATCACCGAAATGTATAGCTACATGGAGGAGTGTGGTGAGCTCCAGTGAAGAAAATGTACCAAAAGCTGAAAATGTATTACATAAAAATTAATCTAGAAGATATGAAAAAATTTTTCTATGAACTACATGAATAATCTTGTCTGAATTTCTGAGGCCTTTAAATGCTTTTAAAGAATTTCCATGACCCCCTCCCTGTTGACTGCATATTCAATGATGTAGATGAAAAAAAAGACACACCTCAATCCAACATTTTAAAAATCATTTTCCAGGATCCTTCTGGGAAAGAGAGAGAAATGAAAGACCTACTCATTTACAGACCCTTGGACCCATCTTGGGTGACTCTGTCTCTGAAAAGCCTCCATCCTCTAAATTCTAGCACTTTAAAAATTAGCGAACCTTGTAGCTTAGAGGGGCAAAAGGTCAGGTGTCAGTTCTGTGGGTGTTTCTGGACTGAAAGTGAATGACAGAAGGAAAAGACGACCCTCCGATTCTTATTGTTGGTTTGCATCCCAGTGAATCAGCCTTGCACCAAGGAGCATGCTGGTGCGATTCTGCTCCCAAGAGGACTTCTAAGTCATTCACTGGATTAGCATGTCTCTGAGAATGGGGTGGACAGGAGTGTACTTTGGAGGGGCCCTGGGACCTGGGTTGAAAGAGTTTCTGGTATTTGGAATCCATCTGTGGACTGAAGTCTATTCTCCCCACAATGTCTTCCATTACTTTAGAAGGGGAAGTAGGAAGATATTGACACATGTAAAAGAGGCATGGAGGGGTAGGTGATTTAGAGAACTCAGCCACATTACTTTGATTCAAACTACCTTTTTAAAAAAATTCACAAATGCAAGTTAAAAAATAAAAGTGTACTGGGATCCCCAGCGTATACCTTCCTCTGTGCTAGGCGTTCACAAAAACTCTAAGAGAAGGCCTTTGTGCTCTGCAGATCATTATGTTCTTGAAGCTGTGGCTGCACACAAATGAATCAGGGCACATGGCAGACAGCGCGGGAACCAGAAATACATTACATAGTGCAGATTGTATTGTTATAGGACTTCTTACTATTGCTTTTATTTATTATTGCCTTCTGTTCACTTCTAAACACAAATTACAACATTCTCCTAGAAATTTGCCAGTTGCAAAATGATTTTCTTAGATTATTTAAGAAAACCTGTTTAGGGCCAACTTTCCATTTTGTTTGTGTTTGAATTTTAGGATCGCCTTATCTGAATATGAAACCTGCATCCAGACTCAAAAAATCCAGGTGAGCGATGTGGTTTGGTGTGACTAGGGGTGAGGCACATAGCCCAGAGTATTCTCATCTGATCTAGGTACACTGTCAAGTTGTGAAGATCAAATCCCACTAGCAAACGTGTGGGAGAGAAAATGAAACCTAGAACACAGGATGCAAAGTAAGGGACAGTCGTTGTGATCATCATACAGCCTCACACACTTCATGTCCCAGAGCTTACAGAGAGTGGATTTTAACATTCTTAGGTCATATAAAGAGTGGCAAAGCCACACTCTTTAGAAATAGCATTATCTTTTCTAGGGCCTCCTTTCAGGAAGCAGCCAGATCTTTATTGAACACCTGTTGTATAACCCTGCCGCATGCCAGGCACCAGGCTAAAGACGAGTGGTCTAGAAAACATTGTCTCAGAACTTAAGGATTTGGCAGAAAACATCAACACATTCAATACAAATAGAAAGAACTATATTAAAATAGCAAGCCACAGAAGGAGGGAACCTGATGAGCTGGGCAAACTATCAGGAAACGCTGCAGGGAGGAAGCTGATAAAATTTGACCCTGACCTTTGAAATGGTCAAGAATCCTTTAATGTCAGACAACAGAAATCCAGCTGAACATAGAAATTTATTGGTTGACCACAACTCCAGGATAGTGCTGGTTTTAAGCATGTCTGGTTAACAGTATTAAAACAATGTCCTCATTTTTTATCACACTCACACACTCTCCCTCTCCACCACTGGCACAGCACTCGTTTTCTCAGAGTTTGTTTTCTCTCTCTGGCAGCTCTTTTCATATGGCAGAAAGAAGGCCACTCTCAGTTCTGAGCGCACACAGTCCTCCCTACCATATCCAACCCAGAGACAAAGACACCCTTCCGCTTCAGTTGCACCTATCTAGTCTCTTGGAGGGATGCCTACTGGTTCTACCCGGCTGTGAGCTCAGGTGCTTGTGGACAAAGTACCATAGACAGAAGACTGGAGTATCACAATATAGCCAAATGCCCAACCCTGAGGCCAGGAGTGTGAGTGAGGCAATATGACAGACGGTCTCCTCATGACCCACGGAATCAAGGATTACCTAACAGAAAGAAGAGCATTGGGTAGTAACAAACAACATATATGCATGCAGCTGAAGCAACAGAAAGTAATTTGAATAAGCAGAGAGAAGG